GTTCCCTAACTGTGGTGGGGCGATAGACGGAACGCACATCCCTATCTTGGGACCGGACCACCTTGGCAGCCAGTATGTAAACCACATGGGGTACTTTTCAATGGTGCGGCAAGCACTGGTGGATCACAAGGGACGTTTCACCGACATCAACATGGGATGGCCAGGAAAGGTGCATGATGCTCGCATCTTCAAGAACTCTGGTCTGTTTGAACAGCTGCAGGAAGGAACTTACTTCCCAGACCAGAAAATTACTGTTGGGGATGTTGAAATGCCTATAGTTATCCTTGGGGACCCAGCCTACCCCTTAATGCCATGGCTCATGAAGCCATACACAGGCACCCTGGACAGTAGTCAGGAGCTGTTCAACTATAGGCTGAACAAGTGCAGAATGGTGGTAGAATGTGCATTTGGACGTTTAAAAGCACGCTGGTGCAGTTTACTGACTGGGTTAGAGCTTAGCGAAACCAATATTCCCATCGTTATTACTGTTTGCTGTGTGCTCCACAATATCTGTGAGAGTAAGGGGGAGACGTTTATGGCGGGGTGGGAGGTTGAGGCAAATCGCTTGCCCGCTGATTACGCGCAGCCCGACACCAGGGCGGTTGGAAAAGCACAGCAGGGCGCGCTGCGCATCAGAGAAGCTTTGAAAACCAGTTTCATGACTGGCCAAGCTACAGTGTGACAGTTCTGTTTGTTTCTCCTTGGTTGACTCTACTTCCCTGTAAGCCAACCGACCTCCTCCCTTCGATCACTGCTTTCAGAGGCAATGAAGTCATGATTGTTTCAAAATCATGCATTCTTTATTAATTCATCACACAAATAGGGGGAAAACTTGCAAGGTAGCCCGGGAGGGGTGGGTGAGGAGGGAAGCACCGGGTGGGGTGGTGGATGAGGGGAGGAGGGAAGGACAAGGCCACACTACAGTTCAAAACTTATTGAATGCCAGCCTTCTGTTGCTTGGGCAATCCTCTGGGGTGGAGTGGCTGGGTCCCCGTAGCCTGCTCCCTACCTTCTTGGGCATCTGGGTGAGGAGGATATGGAACTTGGGGAGGAGGGCAGGCAGTTATACAGGGGCTGCAGCAGCGGTCTGTGCTCCTGCTGCCTTTCCTGCATCTCCACCAGATGCCTGAGCATGTCAGTTTGCTCCCCCATTAGCCTCAGAATTGCATCCTGCCTCTTCTCAGCCTGCTCCTCCCTTCTCTCATTGCGTTCATTTAACGCTTTCCTGGACTCTGCCATTGTTTGCCTCCACGCATTCTGCTGAGCTCTTTCAGTGCAGGAGGACTGCACGAGCTCTGAGAACATCTCGTCACGAGTGTGGGTTTTTTGCCTTCTAATCTGCGCTAGTCTCTGGGACGGAAATGATAGGGGGAGCGTAGAAACATTTGCGGCTGCGGGAGGAAAAAAGGGAGAGTAGTATTTTAAAAGATACATTTTAGAGAACAAAGGGAAGACTATTTCACACTGAATCAAGTGATTCACATTACATAGCATATGTGCTTTTGCTACAAGGTCGCATTTTGCCTCTTATATTGAGTGCCTGCCGGTTTGGTGTGAGACATCACACACGCTCGGCTGGGCAATAGAATTTGGCTTGCAGGCAGCAATGGTAAGGCAAAGGGTTTCGGCTTCTTCAACCTTCATAACATGTGGGAACGGTTTCAAACAGCAGCACCCTCCTTTCCCATACCAAGCAAAGCCCGTTGGGTTGGCCATTTAAAAGGCGGGGCTGCGGTTTTAGGGTGAATGTGCAGCACAATCCAATCCCCCCCACCCAATTCTCTGGGATGATCGCCACCCCCAACCCCCACGTGGCTAGTATCAGGGAAGATCCCGGTCAGCCATGAATGGGACTCCCCCCACCGCGTGGCTAACAGCAGGGATGATTTATTTTCAGCCAAAGGCAAACAGCCAAAGCCCGGACCCATTTGCTGCAAGGTTTTGTTCTGCAATGATTCCAGACTACTTGCTACTGGCCTGGCATGGTAAATTAATCATTAAACACCCTTGCTTTTAAACCCTGTATTATATTTTCAAAGGTACACTCACCAGAAGTTCCTTCTCCGGCTTTATGGTCTGGGAGCCCGCCTTGGGAGGGTTGGGAGGGTATCAGCTCCAGGGTGATGAACAGTTCCTGGCTGCCGGGGAGAAGGGATTCTCCGCTTGCCTGCTGTGCGCTATGCTATCCTCAACCACCTCCTCATCTTCAAACTCCTCATCCCTGTTGCATGAGACTCCTCCTTTGCAGGTGTCCACAGACAGTGGTGGGGTAGTGGTAGGGGCCACCCCCATAATTGCATGCAGCTCATCCTAAAACCGGCATGTATGAGGCTCTGACCCGGAGCGACTGTTTGCATCCTTTGTTTCTTGGTAGGCTTGCTTCAGGTCCTTAACTTTCATGCGGCACTGCTGTGTGTCCGTGTTGTAGCCTCTGTCCATCACGCCCTTGGAGATTTTGGCAAATATATTGGCATTTCGTCTTTTGGAACGGAGTTCTGCCTGCATGGATTCTTCTCCCCAAACAGTGATCAGATCCAGTACCTCCCGTTCGGGCCATGCTGGAGCTCTTTTACGATTCTGGGACTCCATGGTCACCTCTGCTGATGAGCTCTGCATGGTCACCTGTGCTGATCCGCTCGCCACACTGGCCAAACAGGAAATGAAATTCAAAAGTTCCCGGGGCTTTTCCTGTCTACCTGGCCAGCGCATCTGAGTTGAGATGCTGTCCAGAGCGGTCACAATGGAGCACTCTGGGGATAGCTCCGGGAGGCCAATACCGTCGAATTGTGTCCACACTACCCCAAATTTGACCCAGCAAGGTCGATTTTAGCGCTAAACCCCTCGCCGGAGAGGAATACAGAAATCGATTTTAAGAGCCCTTTAAGTCGACAAAACAGGCTTGGTCGTGTGGACGGGTGCAGGGTTAAATCAACCTAACGCTGCTAAATTCGACCTAATCTCGTAGTGTAGACCAGGGCTTCATGAGATTAATAGGGTTAAACTGAGCTCAAGATCTGATAGTATCATGTGATAAATAGAAACAATCAATGTAAAATAACACTTTAAAAAAATCTCACCAATAAAGGAATTTTTTAAGAATTCAAAATACCAGGCAACAGTCCAGAGTAAGAATTAAGGGTGTGGCCTATGCTGAGTCCCTCCTTTTGCTTAGAAGAGAAACGTACACAAATAATATTTTTTTAAATCAGTTTTTTGATTTTTCCCTCAAATAAAAAAGGGTCTGTTTTAAATTGTGTAAGACAATTGTATATTTCATGCCAACATTAGGCACGGAGGAGACTTTTTAAAGTTCACTAACTGAAATAAAAAATTATTAATACTACTTTAATTATTGCATAGAAGCACAGAATTTAGACTATCAAGGTTGGAAGGGACCTCAGGAGGTCATCTAGTCCAACCCCCTGCTCAAAGCAGGACCAATTCCCAACTGATGTAATATACTATCACAGTTTTTGGATTAATCATTCTATTGGAAGACGCTATTAGTTCTTTATGCCAGAAAATATTGATATTATGTAATTATTCTGAAATGCAATAACAAAAACCAGTTTTTAAAATCTGAGTGTTATAGTTCATGTTATGCTCCACATTATTAAATGTTTATGCATGTAATCTACTCTGCTGCCCATACATTTTAATCAGATACTTTCTGCTTTTATAATAATCACCCAATTTAAGTGAAAATTATTGTAGCTATAGATGTATGAAGTTGTAAACTGCCTCAACTTCATAATAATCTGTATCACTCTATATATTTTTGTAGATAATAGAATATCCACAAATTGACAAGTGGAAACACCTGAATGCATTCTGAAACTTGCAGATAATACTCATGAACTAATAAATGTGAAAGGATACATTATAAATCAGTTCAAATATTATTCCCTTTAATTAGGTCATTAGAACAACACAGTCTTCTAAGCAAACTGAAAAAGTCACTGATGTATGGCAATTAGACCAAGGCATCACCACTATTGTGCTAATAAGTAGCATCTGAAAAACTGTATAGTACTTGTTTCGTTGTTGGATCCTATCATTGCAAGTAATGATTTCTGGGGGGTTAACAATCTGATTTAATAAACCATCAGGTATTACGTGGTTTCTTGTCTCCAGTATCTGTTACAATTATTTTAAAAGGTTAAAACATGAGACCAAGAGTCAAGTCATCATTATCCCAGCAAACCTGTTAAGCAAAACTGATGAGACATTTCCAGCTGAAGAAACAGCTAAAACCTTTTATGCAGGCTACAATAACTGAATAATCACTTCTTAAAGCCAACTTTAAAAACATTCATGGGGTATTACTATACCATACTGCAAGATTAATTATAGATATACAACAATATAGACATTTATAGGCTTCAAAAGGGTCACAAATCATCAAAACAAAACACTGTTCAGAACTTTTATCTGTCTGATTTTAAATGGCACACAGTCAAGATTTTATATATCTTTATCCACTGCATTTTCCAGTAAGCCAGAAAGTGTCTCATTTTTTCTTTCACTATGATGGTAGTGGCACATTTTCCACATCCCCCATAACAAAATAGAAATTAACGTTGGATTGACCTAAAAGACAACTGATTTCTTTAGGAAGGATCACACATTGACACTACTCACTAGACAGTTACTTTTTCTTACAATTAACTTCCCCAAAAACACAGAGAAATGTGGTTATTTTTCCTCTAACAGAAGTCTAATTGGCTGTGAACATATATACTGTACTGTAGGTCTTATGCTCTTAGAAGAACTGGTTACCTCACTCTTCCAGTGATATTTATGACCCTGTAACTCTAAGATGTTATATTGTTATCTCACTGCACAGTGTGACACACACAAATAATTTTGTAAACAAAATGTCACTGATCAATTCTAACAGTGAATCATTTGCTCCTATATTTATAAAGCTGAATATTAAGGACGAGGTACCTTTTGCCATTATGTGTTTAGTCTCTAAAGTCTGAAGTGTATTTTCTTACCTCAGCATCTTGAGTTTCCTGATGTAATAAAGTCAGACCTGTTAGGTCTTCTAAGAAGGAATGTGAGGAATTAAAAACTTTTGCAAGGAAATTAAACCCCTCTCGCTCATACTGGTCAAGGACCTGTGAAGTAAACAGACAGAAAAGGGAATAAATACAACATGTAAAAGGTTTACTATTACTCATTGCTACATATAGTCTATGAAATAAAGGGTAAGCTTTTTGCACACCCATACAATTATTGAGCAATGGCTAATGAAGAAAATCACAGTGGGGTAGGGATGAGGAGAAGAATTGACAGTACTGCAAACATTTTCATACCACTGCAGAGAATCTTTCATTTCAGAACTACCAATACAAAAAATGCCAATAAAAAAAGTTGTATTCTCCTCCAAAATCATGCAGAAAAATTTTGCAGATTCTGTAGAACCTGGTGGAAACCTCCATTACACTTTATTTGTTCTGTTTTGTACGTCATGTACAACTGGGACAAAATTTTTAGCTATCGCAACACAGAGTGTACATGTCATTCCTTTGACAAGAGATCTATTTTACATAGGATTTTTAATTTCCTAATGGTATGACTTTTTAATCACATACTATAGAAAATTACTATATTGTCCCCCCTTTATTTCTTCCCATATGTGATATATATATATATTGCATATACAATTTCTATTGCATATTTTTTTCTGTCCATTTTGAAAAGTCCTCCCAATCACCACATCATCTTAAGTAGAATGCTAAGCACTTTTGGATAAGATCCAAGAGCATGCCGCAAAGCTGAAATGTTTAGGAAAAAAATTCTCCTGTTATGTATTGTTCATATTCCACCTTTTAATGTTTTTGTGGTGAAACAGCTGGGAACTGTACTGCTAATTCCTATTAATTACATTCACTCTGCTTCAGAAGGTAGGTAGCTTCCCCTAAAACTGAAGTAGTTCATTCTCCCTGGACTGCAAAAGAAGCTGGAAGTGCTGCAGCTAGTACTCTCTTTAATAATCACTAAGTGGATTCAACTAAGTGAGACTCAATGTAAGTGATTATATTTTGTTTTATTTTAAATGAAGCATCCATTCAGTGCTCCTAGTATATTTACTATAAAAAAATTTACAACTCAGAAATGAAGTCCTTCTTGCCCAGTCATTTAAAATTAACCAAAATCACCTCTTACCCCTCTTCAACAACCTCATTCTTTTCTAGTCCAGCCCCTCCTCAAAAGCCTAGGAGCCTTGAATTGCTCTAGCAGAAAATTGTGGGAACTTGCACAAATTGTCAGCATTCATCATTAGAGATGCAGCAGAATACGTCTACAGGGCTTTCCCATACGGTTCTCTAGAACTTCCAGCAAACTGCCCCAGGGGAATCTAATAGTTTTCAGCTGACAGCACTAGAAGTTTATTTGGCTAAGGAGTCTGGGATATTGAGTCAAATCTTATTGTTAGATGTTCATTTAGTAGCACAATTAGCTACTGCCAGGGCCGGCTCCAGGCACCAGCTTACCAAGCAGGTGCTTGGGGCGGCCACTTCGGAGAGGGGCGGCACGTCCAGCTGTTCGGCGGCAATTCGGCGGATGGTCTCTCACTCCTGCTCGGAGCAAAGGACCTCCCGCCGAATTGCCGCCTCAGATCGCGATCGCGGCTTTTTTTGGGGGGGGGGGTTGTTTGGCTGCTTGGGGCGGCCAAAACCCTGGAGCCGGCCCTGGCTACTGCATACTTAGGTTTCCATGTATTACAGACAATTATGAAAGAATGAAAAATATTTTATATTAAAGAGGAGGAAAGCTTCTGCAAAATTCAAAGAGTTAAACAGTTCTAGAGGTGGTACTTTTGAAATGGAAATCTCTGAATGCTGACATCAATAATCTCTTAACAGCGTTAATCTGAGGAAGGACAAATAAATGGATACGGCAGAATGAAGAATTAAGCCTCTTCTTAAATCAAGCCATACACATTTAAACACTGAGACATTAATAGCACTATATATTCGGGTAGGAAATCTGGAGAAACTGTTATTAATACTCCAGAGATGTATTTCATCATACCAGGTTTATGCGTTTTCTCTTTAGTGCATAGGTCTGTGTGAGAAGTTAATCTGAGTAAGAAGACAAACTTTCTTACATAATGATATTTTTAAAATTCACTCCTTAGAAATGAAAACACCACCCTTAGCTAAGTGCACACAATATATATGTAGAGAATTGGGAAACAGCCTTCCATTTGAGATGTGCCATTATCTAGCATATACTGCAATACCTTTTCAAAATATATATATTTTAATGACTACTCTCCGTTCCAAAAGTCTATTAAAAGCAACCAGATGTGCAGCAGTTTCTTGCATCTGGCTCTTCGTGAAACACTGCATATAGAAGTCAATTTATAAACTTGGACTGTGTTCAGAGTTAGGCCTGCATGTAGTCTGCAGAGTTATCATCATTATCCGATATGTGGTGTTATTAATTTACTTTGTTGGAACCACAATACAGAGTTTATATGACATCTCTTTAATGATGTAGGCCAGATTATATGCATGGTATGTAACAGCAACACACAGTCCACTTGGCATACACTGTAGCATTATCCTGAAATATTAGAAGCATGTCAAATACAAAGCAGATGATAACATAATATATTGGTCCTTGCCCACAGTTAAAATTTGAAGGATGTACACTACTTTTGGATAATCAAATGCTAAGGAAGTGGAAAAAAGGTAATACAGGCTCAAGTGACCAAGTATTAATGAAAGGATACTCTCAAAGGTTCAATCAGTTTTTAAATCGTGTATTTTCTTTTGTTAATACTAACAACTTGGAAGCTATAAACAAGTAGTTACACATGTCAAATCCCTGGTACAATCCTTGTCCCCCTGCTGCTTCCTCTTGCCCCCAGTGAAATACAGCACCAGCCCAATTTCCCTCTCCCAAGTTCTGTTTCATTCTACCCTCCTAAACCCAGACAACACTAGATTCTAGCCAAATGCCCATCTCCTAAATTCCCAAGAATTGTGACTCAACTCAGATTTGAACCTTTCCTGCTGCTGCTTCCCTCGTGGGCCAAGTATCATTCCTTCAGCAGCCAGAGTTCTGTATACAAACTGCCCTGCTTTATTTCAAGTATGCCTCTAAGCCTTTCTATATTTGCCACAATAGCTGTGCATGAATACTTATGTTTGCATTATGTGTACTTGCAAATGAGCAGCTTGCATGATTGCACTGACATTTTCAGTGCACAGTATTTGTTTTGGATGGATGACCTGGAAGTGGAGGAATTTTTTTGTATGTTGTTGTAATGCTTCTTTGTAATGTGATCAGTATGGAAATTCCAATTAAATGTACTTTTAAAAAAAGGTATGTTCATAAAATATGAATATTAATAAAATAAGGTATGTTAATTCATAAAACTATGAGCTTGGGGTATATTATTTTGGGGTCTGTTAAATTGTAACATAACCTATTTAAATTGCATATGAATATTATACTATTATGACCAAATCTCCTATTGCTATAAATTGATCTTAAACTATATTTTTCTAGAGTTGAAATTCAATTCTGTTATACATACACACTTTCATGTGAACATGTTGCTGGCTTCACATGATCTTACAATGGTATATTTAGGTTAGGAAGGCAAACATGATAGTACAGTGTCAGTGTCTTGAAAATCTATAATATCAACCTAGACAGACATTGCTTCTAGAACACACTTCTACAAGCCTTGTGGATGGGGGGGAAGCGGTAGACGTGGTATATCTTAACTGTAGTAAAGCTTTTGATACTGTCTCACATGACGTTCTCATAAACAAACTAGGGAAATGCAACCTAGATGGAACTACTATAATGTGGGTGCATAACTGGCTGGAAAACCATTCCCAGAGAGTAGTTATCAGTGGTTTACAGTCATGCTGAAAGGGCAAAACAAGTGGGGTCCCACAGGGATCAGTTCTCGGTCCACTTCTGTTCAATATCTTCATCAATTATTTAGATAATGGCATAGAGAGTACACTTATAAAGTTCGTGAACAAAACCAAGCTGGGAGGGGTTGCAACTGCTTTGGAGGATAGCATTAAAATTCAAAGTGATCTGGACAAACTGGAGAAATGGTCTGAAGTAAATAAGATGAAATTCAATAAGAACAAATGCAAAGTACTCCACTTAGAAAGGAACAATCAGTTGCACACATACAGAATGGGAAATGACTGCCTAGGAAGGAGAACTGCGGAAAGGGATCTGGGGGTCATAGTGGACCACAAGCTAAATATGAATCAACAGTGTAACACTATTGCAAAAAAAGCAAACACCATTCTAGGATGTATTAGCAGGAGTGCTGTAAGCAAGAAATGAGAAGCAATTCTTCCACTCTACTCCGCACTGATTAGGCCTCAACTGGAGTATTGTATCCAGTTCTGGTGCCACATTTAAGGAAAGATGTGGACAAATTGGAGAAAGTCCAGAGAAGAGCAACAAAAATGATTAACGGTCTAGAAAACATGACTGACGAGGGAAGATTGAAAAAATTGGATTTGTTTAGTCTGGAAAAGAGAAGACCGAGAGGGGACATGCTAACAATTTTCAAGTACATAAAAGGTTGTTACAAGGAGGAGAGAGAAGAATTGTTCTTCTTAACCTCTGCGGATAGGACAAGAAGCAATAGGCTTAAATTGCAGCAAAGGAGGTTTAGGTTGGACATTAGGAAAAATTTCCTAACTTTTCAGGGTGGTTAAGCACTGGAATAAATTGCCTAGGGAGGTTGCAGAATCTCCATCATTGTTTAACTTGCTCTTAAAAATCTCCAAACACCTGTCAGGGATGGTCTAGATAATACTTAGTCCTGCCATGAGTGCAGGGGACTGGATTAGATGACCTCTCAAGGTCCCTTCAAGTCCTATAATTCTATGATTCATGTAACAGGTCCCAAGATTTTGAACAACAAAACCAAAAAAGAGCTAACAATAAAATATGTTTTAAGTTGAATAGTTCATTGACTACAGGCATATTTCTAGTCTTACAAACAGAAAACTAAACTTTATCTTGGACCAAACTAAGAATAGAGTCCATGTAAGTTCCACAACCCAAGGCACAGGACCAAAAGAAACTGGTAAGTCAAGGAACCTATCATGGAGAATAT